GTGACGGACAGGGAGGCCTGGCGTGCTGCGATTCATGGGGTTGCAAAGAGTCGGACACGACTGAGCGACTGAACTGAACTGAACTGACATAATCTGTGAGTTTTATTTATTTATTTATTTTGTCCTCCTGGTTATGTTGCCCTCTGAGATTCCAAAACTCCCCACAGACCCTACGGTGAGAGGGTTTCCTGGTGTTTGGAAACTTCTCCTCTTTTAAGACTCCCTTCCTGGGATGGGTCTCTGTCCCTAACCCTTGTCTCTCTCTTTGTCTTTTATATTTAGTCTTACCACCTTTTGAAGACAGTGGACTGCCTTTCTGGTTGCCTGATGTCTTCTGCCAGAGGTCAGAAGTTGTTTTGTGGAATTTGCTCAGCATTCAAATGTTCTTTCGATGAATGTGTGGGGGAGAAAGTGGTCTCCCCGTCCTATTCCTCCGCCATCTTAGGACCCCTCTAATCCTTCTCAATGTTTAAAAAACCCCAACTGTATTGAGATATAATTGACATACTCTACAATTTACCATCTAAAGTGTATAATTCTATGGTTTTTTATTATATCTCCACAGTCACTCAACCATCACCACAACCTAATTTCAAAACTTTTTAAACCTCCAATCCACCCCCCCCAAAAACCCTATTACCCATTATCACTCACTGTACAATACCCTGTCTCTCTCCCAGCATTGGGAAACCACTAACCTACTTTCAGTTTCTACAGACCACAAAGAACTTTTAAAAAACTGTGGTAAGACATACATGACCCAAAATGTACCATTTTAACCATTTTTAAAAAGTTTTATTATTATTATGGTAACCCCCCCATACATGAAACTTAATGTCTTAAGCATTTTTAGGTGTACAGTTCAGTTGTGCGAAGTACATTTCCATTGTTGTGAGGCAAGTTTCTAGAACTTTCTCAACTTATAAAACTGAAACTCTATACCTCCAAAGGAGAATTGCTATTTAATGAGCATAGAGTTTCATTTTAACCATTTTTAAGTGTACTTTTCGGTGGCATTCTGGGCATTCATATCATCATGCAACCAACATGACCATCTATCTCGGACTTTTTCATCTTCCCAAACTGAAACTCTGTATCCACACATTTTACCATTATTCAAACCATATGATTTCTGAGCCTCTGTTTGCTCATGTGATATAATTGGTTATCACATGACTGACTGAATTAGAATTGATTAAAATCAAATTCAAAGGGCTACAGTGTGTGCGTGTGCATGCCAAGTCATGTCCAAGTTGTTGCGACCGCACAGACTGCAGCCCTCCAGGCTCCTCTGTCCTTGGGATTTCTCAGGCAAGAATCCTGGAGTAGGTTGCCACGCCTTCCTCCAGGAGATCTGCCCGACACAGGGATGGAACCTGCATTTCCTGCATTGGCAGGTGAATTCTTTACCAGTGAGCCACTAGGTAAGCCCAAAAGTCTATAGAGGGAGGGTAAAAAACAGCAAGGAGAACTGAGAATGCTTTACATTATTTCTTATCGCAGGAAATGAGTTCAGCCAAGATGATACTGAGAATATTCTCAACTATGTCTAGAAAGGTGGAATGCAAATATATTATATGCATATAAGAAAATACCATTTGATTGGTTTGAAAGGGGATCCAAGCTTCTTCATACCTCCGTCTCCCTTGTGCTCTCCAAGGGAGAGTCCAACTGCATAGGACTTCACAGATGCTGGCTCTTCTAAGAAGCATCCGCTCTAGGAGTATCCCTGGTGGTCCTTAGGAGTTAGTCTAAAGGTCCATTCTGTCTGACTTTTCTGTCGACTCCAGCTCAGGTCAGGAAGATCTTTCTGGTCTTTCTGGTGTAGAACCTGAGGGCCAAGCTGATTTTCAGCCAGAATGGCCAAGAGGACTATGAGGACCAGCCCTGCCATGCCCATCCGAATCCAGTTCTCCGTCGTGTGATCTTGGCTCGTGGTACCTAGAGATGTCATTAGAAGGAAATGAATGATCACTGGTCATGTTTCATTCCCTCCCGACCAAGAGCCCTGGGAAGGGAGCTCATTTCCCCAGTTTGTGTGTTCACTGGGACCCGCTCCTCAGGCAATGCATGCATTCATGGGCACCATAGTTCATCTTGGGCGTCCCTGATGGCTCATGGGTAAAGAATCCACCTGCCATGCAGGAGACACAGGAGATTCGGGTTTATCCCTGGGTCAGGAAGATCCCTGGAGAAGGAAATGGCGACCCACTCTAGTAGTCTTGCCTGGAAAACCCCATGGACAGAGGAGCCTGGTGGGTTACAGGCCATGGGGTCACAAAGAGTCGGACACGACTGAGCACGCAGGCACCGCACGGCACTGATAAGCTGGTTACCCCTGTATGTGAGTCTCTATACTTCACCTTAAACCCGAGTCCAAAGCTGTGGTCCCCAGAGGTATCTTGTAAATGGGGGAGGAGGTGGTTATGAGGATGTTCTGTTTGCTTGTCATCCCCTCCCTATGTGGCAGTTTCACTGAATATATAATCATATCCTCAAAACATCTTCATAGATCCAGAGCCCCAAACTCTCTCCTCTACATCGTCTCACCCCACGGAACAGTGTGTGTTCCTTTCTCATACAATGATTGGTATCTGGGAAGCAAATAGGAAAAAAAAGTTAAGACAAATCTAGGAAAAATTTGGAACTTTCCTGGCGATCTAGGGATTATGACTGAGCACTTCCACTGCAGCAGACATGGGTTCAATCCCTGGTCAGGGAACTAGGATCTCTGAATGCCATGTGGCGTGATCAAAACACAAAAAACTTAGGGAAGCTAAGTGTGACCTTGGTCCACTAGTGTGTGACCTTTCATCAGTTATTTCTGTTCATTGCACCTTTAAAAAATGTATCCATTTATTTTATGGACCTCATGGGCTCAAGGATGTAATAAAATATTGTGAAATTACAATGCTCAGAAATCCTAGTAACTCTCTTCTGTTAAAACATAGAAATCAGTTCCAAGCGGATTTGGGCAGGTGGATTCTTTACCATCTAACCCGGCAGGGAAGCCCAAGAATACTGGAATGGGTAGCCTATCCCTTCTCCAGGGGATCTTCCCGACCCAGGAATTGAACAGGGGTCTCCTGCATTGCAGGTGGATTCTTTACCAACTGAGCTACCAGGGAAGCCTTGGAATTCAACATGAATTCCTAATTGCAAAGTGCAAAATATTTCAAGTCTGGGAAGATAATATAAGAAAGGCTCATCCTGACATTGGGATAGGAGGTGATTTCTAGAACAAGATACAGTGACTGTCTACATTAAAGGGAATTGCTAATAAATTTAGCCCTCCTCCACAGGTGGCCAGTTGTCCCTGTATCATTAATTGAAAGGACCATTTGGCCATATGAACTTATAAGGCCATGACTACTACATTCGCTTAGCTTGTAGAATGACTGGACAAGACAAATGTGAGAGACAAATGTGGTCATCCCACTCAGTCACCAGAGGTTGCTTTCCTCTGCTATAACTCCTGTTTGCTCCTTCTGGGCAGAGTGATGCATGCAAACGATATAAAAATGAAGCTCTTTTTGAATTTTATTTTTTTACACTTCATTGTGGCTTATGGGATCTTAGTTCCCCAACCTGGGATCAACCCAGGTCCACAGTAGTGAACGCCTTGAGTCTTTATATATGTATGTATAATTTTATTTATTTATTTTTGGCTCTGTTGGGTCTTCCTTGCTGCTTGGGCTTTTTTCTAGTTGGGGTGGGTGGGGGCTACTCTCTAGTTATGGTTCTCCAGCTTCTCATGACAGTGGCTTCTCTCATTGTGGAGCACAATCATGGCACAGGCTCTTTGTTGCTTCGAGGCATGTGAGATCTTCTCAGATCAGGGATGAAACCCGTATCTCCTGCACTGGCAGGCAGACTCTTTACCACTGAGCCACCAAGGAAGTGTCTCCCCCATTTTTTTCTTAAATATTTGCTTATTTATTTGGCTGTACTGAGTCTGTAGTTGCAGCCTGTGAGATCTTTAGTTGCAGCATGTGGGATCTAGTTCCCTGATCAGGGATTGAACCCAGGTCCCCTGCATTGGGAGCTCAGAGTCTTAGCCACCAGACCAACAGGGAGGTCCCAAAGCCCTGAGTCTTAATCCCTGGAGCACCAGTGAGTTTCCCTAAATGAAGCTCTTGATAGAGTTTTTTAGAGTCTTCCTGATGAGTGGTAAGTTACCAGTCAACCTCTCCGAGTGGCTTCTAGTATTAGAGGTTAATGTCAGTATTCCCTGTTACGACTAAGCATGTGATGAAAGAAAGTGAGTTCATCAATGGTTGTGTCTTGTATCTGCTGGCTCAACGACACCCCTAAAGATGATTCTGAACATGGGCCTCTCCTTTCTCAACAAGCCATGTGTCTTGAAGGACACTGGAGAGCTCGGGGACACACTGTGAAAGTCACATGTCACATGGGTGAGAAGGCCTTCTCTCTTCGCAATCCTCTGAGCCATGAGTCTCTCCTGCCCCGATCTTCTTTCTTGGTGCCTCTCTGTTCTCCTGCCTGATGCCAAGGCCCTGGACAGCCAGCGAGAGCCCTGAGGAGGAGGACAGAAGTCTCTGGCAGGGGTGGGGGGGATACCCTTACCTGTGACCACCAGCTCCAGGGCATTGCTGGGGGCTGACCATACATAGGGGCGGCCGCTGTGCCAGCCATAGCATGTGTAGACTCCTGAGAAGCTGAGGTTCACAGGACCCAGAGTGAAGTCCCCCTGGAGTCTTGCATCTCGGTGCCGTGACAGGGTGGCCCCTCCCGGCCTGCTCAGTGAAAATCTGTCGAACGACATGTGTGCTGAACTGCACCGGAGGGAAATATTCTCCCCTGGCATCGCCACCTGGCCCTCATCGGTGGAGAGAAAGGGTTTGTCGTAGAAGCCTGAAAGAGAAGAGAGTGAGTTGTTGGCAAGATTTCTGTCTTTCCCTGTTTCTCCGCCACTCCTTTTGGGTCCATGCTAAGAGAAGGGCGGAAGCTCATGTTTTCCTGATGCAAAGGAATGGGCGGTGGTAACATCCCATTTCACTATTACAGGACCCATGTACATGTGCTCAGTCATGTCCAACTCTTTGTGACCCGAAGTATGGTAGCCCCCCAGACTCCTCTGTCCATGGGACTATCCGGGCAACAACACTAGAGTGGATTGCCAGCCTTCCTCCAGGGGTTCTTCCAGACCCGGGGGTCGAACCCACGTCTCCNGACCTTTGTTGGCAAAGTAATGTCTCTGCTTTTTAATATGCTGTCTAGGTTGGTCATAACTTTCCTTCCAAGGAGTAAGCGTCTTTTAATTTCATGGCTGCAGTCACCGTCTGCAGTGATTTTGGAGCCCCCCCAAATAAAGTCTGACACTGTTTCCACTGTTTCCCCATCCCACGAGTCACCTCAATTCTGACACTCTCTACCTGGCAGTAACGTCAGATCCTGCAGTTTGGGGCTCTGGGCTAACAGCTCAGTCCTACAAGCTGCCCCCCCACTTCAGAGCCCATCAAAAGTCCAGGTTGTCACCCATGGTTCTGACCGAACGGCAGTAAATCGGAAGTTGTCGGGTCCCAGTTCTTATGTTCAATTCATTTGTTAGAGAGGCAGATAGAACTCAGGGGGCCAGCTTGCTTATTAGATTACTGATTTATGAGAGCACGCGTCAGGAACAGCCAGAGGGGAGAACTGGAAGAATGAAGGACCTCATTTCCTAGGCGAGATTGATTATTTCATCATTGGCCTTTGGGGATGGATTCAACCTCCCGCCTCTCTGCCCTCCCCGGAGGTCAGGTGGGGGTGGGGCGGGGCTGAGCATTCTAACCCTCCAATTACCTGGTTGGTTCCCCTGGCAACCAGCTCAGATCCTTTAGGTGCTTTCCAAAAGTCACCTCATTTACATAAAATCAGGTGTGGTTGAAAGGGATTTCTTATGAAAATGAAGATATTTTAATTGCTCACCGCTTAGGGAATCCCAGGCGCTTTCTCTGGTGGCTCTGATAGTAAGGAATCTGCCTGCCAATACAGGAGACCAGGGTTGGATACCTGGGTTGGGAAGATCCCCTGGAGGAGGAAATGGCAACCCACTCCAGTATTCTTGGTTGGGAAAACCCATGGACAAAGGAGCCAGAGATTTTTATTTTGGCATGTCAGAAATTAATTCTGTTATTTCATAAGACTTTGCAGGTTTTTACATTTAATAGTTACAACGGACACACCTATAAAGTTCTCCAGCACCATGAGTTTCATTTTCACTTTCTACATCAGAATTAATCATTAAGGTTTTTTTTTTGTCTTTTTGCTGATCTAATATTCACCTTGTCTCAGTCAGAACTTTATGCTGAAGAGCTATCATCTTCTAAGACACTAGTGTATGTGTTGCTTGGACAAACAGAGAAAGTAACTGCATAAAATGCACCGAAAAATTCTTCACTCAGAATTTCTTGGTGCATCATTTTTGAAACTTTTGCAGTAATAAACTTGCATTTATAATATACACAAGGTTAGAACAAAAACCTAATGGAGCAAAATGTGAATGATAATGTCAGTCATAAGTTGTTGAGAGAATCCTTGATCAATTCTAACCTCTAACAACTTTGCACCAGTGATGTTAATTGTATCACTCTCTAAAAATATGTCAATACATCTGCAGTCAATAAACATTTGGGTAACAAAAGACCTGTTAATAAGCCTTTGATCGACAATGTGTTAAGAGTAGGGGAAACTGGACGCAAGGTATATGGGCATTGTCTGTTACATCACCTTAATTTCCCTGGAAATTTGAAACTTCTAAAAATAACATCTCTGAAAAACTAAGAAAAGAAAAAGACTTGAGGGTCAGAGACCTGCACAGGGCCTCACCTGTCACCACCAGCTCCAGGGGTGCACTAGGCGCTGACCAGCGGTGTTCTCTCCCATATCGGCACTGATAACGCCCTGCGGTGTTTGTATCCATGTGGTTAATGACGAACTCCGCCACCTCCTGAAATCCCAGCTTCTTCTCCACCACTCTGTAGGTGAGGTTTTCCAGGATCTCCAGCTGGTACAGGTAAGATGCAAGGGTTCCCTGGCACAAGATCTTCACCGACCCATTCCAGGGAACCACAGAACTGGGCATAGCAGATATGATAGGAATGGGAAAGTTCCCTAAAAGAAAACAGGGCCCAGACTCAGGTGGCCTGCCATGGAGAAACCATACATCTTTCTTTTTCTGTGAGGGGAACAACTAAATGAAGGGTATGACAGACTTATAGCTCCTTCCTTAAAAATTTTTTTGGGATAATTTCTAATTGTGGCAAAAATGAAATGTCTTATGTAAAGGTTAAATTTAAACCATTTCTAAGTACACAGCTAAGTGGCCTTAATTACACTCACTATATGTGTGTGCATATATAGATAGATAGATATAGGTATAGGTATAGATATGGATAGATGTGGAGTATTTTTAAAGTCTTTATTAAACTTTTTACAATATTGCTTCTGTTCTATGTTTTGGTTTTTTGGTCACAAGGCATGTGGGATCATAACTCCCAGACGAGGGATCCAACCTGTATCCCCTGCATTGGAAAGTGAAGTCTCAAGCACTGGGCCACAGGGGAAGGCCCTATACTCACCATATTGTGCAGCTCAACCATATTGTGCATCTATTTCCAGGACTTTCTCAGGATTCCAAACAAACCCCTAAAACCACTAAGCAATAACTCTTCACTCTTTTCTTAGGCCCTTGTCATTTCTAATTGACTTTCTGTCTCTATGAATTTTCCTACTCTAGATGCCTTGTATCAGTGGAATAAACAGTATTTGCTTTTCTGTGTCTGGTGTTTTTTTTACTTAGTGCAATGTCATCAAGATTCATCCATGTTGTAGCATGTATCAGAATACGTTTCCTTTTTATGGCTGAAAAATAATCCACTGTACGTATAGACTGCATTTTGCTTTTACATTCATGTCAGTGGACATTTGAGTTTTTCCCACCTTCTGGCTATTGTGAATAAAGTTGCTATGAACATGGAGGTACAAGTATCTTGTTAGAATCTGTTCTTTAGTTTCTCTTGTTACATGTATAGAAGTGGAATTGCTGGATTGGGCATTTAGGTTTTTGAGGAACTGCAAGATTTTTTGAGGAACAAAATTCCTTCCTTTATATATATGTGTGTGTGTATATATACATATTTATATATCTATTTATTTATCAAGGTGAACTTTATATAACATAAACTTCCCCTGTTGAAAGTATACAATTCAGTGGAGGTTATTCACAATCTTGTGCAATCATCATCTCTGTCTATTCCATTTTCATTGCCCTCAAAGCAGACCCCATACACATTAATTCTACCCTCTTCCCTGATGGTTCAGATGGTAAAGAATCTGCTTGCAATATGGGAGACCCGGGTTCAGTCCCTGGGTCTGGAAGATCCCCTGGAGAAGGATATGGCAACCCACTCCAGGATTCTTGCCTGAGAAATCCCGTGGGCAGAGGAACCTGGTGGGCTACAGTCCATGGGGTCGCAGATAGTCAGACACAGCTGAGCGACTAAGAGCGCTGGAGAGTGCCCCCTAGTCTGCCAGGCGGTTTGCTTGGTGTTTTGTTGCCATGGTAACTCTTATCCACATGCAGTTCTGCTTTTCGCCCTAGTGTGAGGGTGCTGAAGCTTGGAGAAACCATGCTAGTTGCTCAAGACCACAAACTGAAGAGTGCTCCAACCTGGTTTGGAAACTGGGACTATCTCACCCCAAATTCTCTGCTCTTTCCTCAGTATATGGGGAGAGCTGTCTCTTAAAGCAGTTAGAGAAGCCAAACAAATTAACAATTTTTTATAAGAAACTAATGGCAGCTTCCCTGGTGGCTCAGAGGATAAAGCATCTGCCTGCAATGCGGGAGACTCGGGTTCGATCCCTAGGTTGGGAAGATCCCCTGGAGAAGGAAATGGCAACCCACTCCAGTGTTCTTGCCTGGAGAATCCCATGGACAGAGGAGCTTGGTGGGCTACAGTCCATGGAGTTACAAAGAATTGGATACTGCTGAGCGACTTCAACACTTCAATGAATCAAGGAAAGTGGAGACTGGGCCCTTCATAGAGTTCAGAGACTTTTTTTTCCTTATGATCACCACCATCATCATCAGAGGTATCTTTACCACTGAACCACCTGAGAAACCCATCACAGGCAATACACTTACCATGTACATAATTCATATGCCTTATCTCAATTAATCCCAACAATTGGATCACAATGATCCCATCCTCCCATGATCCAATCTGCTTTCATTGTTATTTTTATTTCTCGTTAGAAAGTGAAAATGTTAGCCTCTCAGTCATGTTGGACTCTTTGCAACCCCATGGACTGTAGCCCACCAGTCTTCTCTTTCCATGGGATTTTCCAGTCAAGAATACTGGAGTGGTGTAGCCATTCCCTTTTCCAGGGTATTTTCCTGACCCAAGGGTTCAACCCAGGTCTCCCATATTGCAGGCAGATTCTTTACCATCTGAGCCACCTTTATAGACAAAGAAATTGGTTCTGAGAGCTGAAGCCACTTACATAAAGTTCTCTAAGGCAGTGTCCCCTTAAATGAAGAAAAGTGGATGGACTGTGGAGAGTTAGGTTGTGAGAACATTTGATGTAGGAAGAATATTGGGAAATGGAAGGTGGTTCCTGACTTCCTCATCCCTGCCGTTGTGAACATTCAGTAAAACACGCATCTTGGATGGACAGTCAGCCTACTGGAGGCAAAGACTAAATCCTGGTCTGAGCATGAGTTTGAGGGATCCAAAGACTCCAAAGTGAGGTAGAAGTTGTGCAAAAGGAACACAGCAGAGATAGCGATCAACAGAACCAGAAATAAAATTGGAATCCCTTTGAGCTTCAGACTCTTCTATCCCAGAGTTGCCGTGAGGATGCAAGGGGATTGGAGGAGACAGAGAAACACTTACCATCCTGTGCCTGAATCCTCTGGCCAAGACAGAGCACTGGAAGAGAGACATTCATGAAAACTCCACCCGCCAATTTCCAACCTTTATTACAAATTACTCAACAGAAAGACTCTCACTGGAAAACACCCTGATGTTGGGAAAGATTGAGGGTAAGAGGAGAAGGGGGAAACAGAGGATGAGGTGGTTGGATGGCATCACTGACTCAGTGGACATGAGTCTGAGCAAGCTCTGGGAGATAATGAAGGACAGGGAAGCCTGGCGTGCTGCAGTCCATGGGGTTGCAAAGAGTCAGGCATGACTGAGCAACTGAACAACAACATAAAGACATACAGGTACCATTTGTTCTCTTCAACAGCAAACAAGGCCCATTTTTAGTTTTATCTTCCAGATTCTAGCCCCTAAGGCTCTCCTCTGCATGAACTCTGGAACCATTGTGCACTGCCAGACAGCACGGCATGGGCTGAACGAACTCGGCAAGGCCAACTTGACAGCGGGACCACTGAGCCTTACAAGTCAGCATGGGCTTGGGCAGACACATACCTGGGCAAAGACCACCTCTCCACTCAGGAGAGCAGAGTCTTCTTGGCAGCCACTGAAATCACCGAGTTCTTATGTTAAGAGAAAGTGAAAATGTTAGTAGCTCAGTACCATCTGACTCTTTGCTGCCCTATGGACAGTAGTCCACCAGGCTCCTCTGTCTATGCAATTCTCCAGGCAAGAATACTGGAGTGGGTTGCCATTCCCTTCTCCAGGGGATCTCCTCAACCTAAGGATTGAACCCAGGTCTCCTGCATTGCAGGCAGATTATTTACTGCCTGAGTCACCAGTTAAGAGAAACCTTGACTATTTCGGATTCCCCCCTTTCTGCCCCTCTAACCCACCTGCATTTGGGGGCTCACCGAGACAGAAGAAGGTGGTGTCTTTGGGGGCCATGGTTCTGCACGGCCAGCCTCAGCTCAGTTAGCCTCTTGACAGTGAGCATCAACAGATGACAGAGTCTCACGAGACAGTGAGACCCACAGGAAGTATGAACTCAGAGGTCCTCGTCAGAGAATTTCTACACTTATTGCCCCAGAGGAATGCTTCCTTCTCAAAGAACTTCATTCTCGGGGGCTCTGAGATGGAGCCTAAGAGGAGATCAACCTTCCTGTTTATGTTTCAGATGAGAAGCGAGCATTTTCTTCCACCAGTGTTGAACGGGGCTCAAATCCTCCTTCAGACAAGATCCCACATCCCAGGGGAAGGGCTGGGGTCAGAAAATTATTAGATGGTTGCCATACAGACTGAGATTTTCCTTCGTTGATCCATCAGTCCAAAGCCATGTGGCCTTGATGGCTATGGATCCACATAGCCTCCATGGAATTCATGGACCAAATATACCCATTTGGTCTTGATCAGGCAGGCAGTGTACTCTTATGTTGGGAATTATCTCAATGGCAGCATGTAGAGGAATGTTTTTTCATGCATGTCTAAAGAATGAGCCTTCTATATCTATATCTGATCTATATCTAAACCTGTAATCTATGAATAGATGATGGATTGATAGAGACTATAGATTAGATAGATAGTCAGGTAGGTAGGTAGACAGGCAGATAAACAGATGGATGGATGGATAGATAAATTTGGCTACAGACACCTACCTGGCTATCACTAGTTCTTCAAGTATAAGAAGTCAAATATTTCACATAAAACTTTCTCCTGGTTATCTCATTTTCATTGCAAGACATCACCCTTTTTTTCAACTTTATTGAGATGTCATTGACATAACATCATGTGAATTTAAGGTGCACCACAGGTTGACTTGATCCACTTCCTTGCTGCACAGTGATGTTCATTGTGGCATTAGCTAATACACCCACCAGCTTGCATAATTACCATTTCCTTTTTTCCTATTTTTTAAAATATTATTTTTTTGTGGTTAGAACATTAAGATTTACTCTCTCAGCAACTTTATTTTTTTATTTTTTATTTATTTATTTTTTCATTTATTTTTATTAGTTGGAGGCTAATTGCTTTACAGTATCGTAGTGGTTTTTGCCATACATTGACATGAATCAGCCATGGATTTACATGTGTTCCCCATCCTGAACCCCCCTCCCACCTCCCTCCCCATCCCTCTGGGTAGCAACTGAGTTTTACCCATGCACTACCCATATAAGATAGAGGGAGATATGTGCCACAAGCACTTTTCAGGGTAATTNACTGATTCAAATGAATTCTTTTTAATGGCTGAGTAATATTCCATGGTGTATATGTACCACAGCTTCCTCATCCATTCGTCTGATCTCAGCAACTTTAAAAAGATTTATTTATTCACTGAAGAGCTGCACCAGGTCTTAGTTGTGGCATTTGGAATCTTTGATTTTTGTTGTGGTGTGTGGAATCTTTCTAGTTGTGGCATGTGAACTCCTAATCACAGCATGTGGGATCTAGTTGTCTGACCAGGGATCAAACCTGGGCCCCCTGCATTGGGAGCTCAGAGTCTTAGCCACTGGACCACCAGGGAAGTCCCTCTCAGCAACTTTTAAATATAGAATACAATATTGTTAATTGTTCTCACCATGCTATACATTATTGTTGTTTAGTTGCTTAGTCATGTCTGACTCTTTTGCAACCCCATGGACTGTGGCAGGCCATGCTGCTCTGTCCATGGAGATTCTTCAGGCAAGAATACTGGAGTGGGTTGCCATTTCCTTCTCCAGGGGATCTTCCCAACTTGGGGATTGGATATGCATCTCCTGCTTGGCAGGTGGATTCTTTATTACTGAGTCATGCACTGACCTCAGAGATACACACAGAGAGTGACTAGTTAGGGTCTTTCCTGTCTTAAAAAAATTTTATTTTTATTTTTTGGCTGCATCAGTTCTTAGTTGCCACACATGGAATCTATTTTTGTGGCTCACAGGCTCTAAAGCTCCAGCTCAGTTGTTGTGGCATGCGGGACTCAGTGGCATTGGAAGGCAGACTCTTAACCACTGGACCACCAGGAAATTCCCCTCTGTTGCATTTTTTAAAGGTAATTTATCCCAGATTAGAGTATATGTCTAAAGCTGGTTGTGTGCTAGAGAGTACTCTTCACCTGGGGGTGAGCCTGGCACGGGTTCCTGAAAATCAAGTTGAAACTGAGAGTTTGAAAAGTGTTTAAAGATGCTTTTCTTGGTATATTTTGATATTTATACCAAAGAATAAAGGGAAGTATGGCTTAAGATGTATATATCTTAAGACATACGTTATATATATGATATATATGTATGTATATATTTCCATGTATGTATTCCTCTCACAAATGTGAATATATACACAGTCCAAGTAGCCATGTATGGATGTGAGAGTTTGACTATAAAGAAAGCTGCTGCTGCTAAGTTGCTTCAGTTGTGTTCAACTCTGTGTGACTCCATAGACGGCAGCCCACCAGGCTCCCCTGTCCCTGGAATTCTCCAGGCAAGAATATTGGATTGGGTTGCTATTTCCTTCTCCAATGGATGAAAGTGAAAAGTGAAAGTGAAGTCGCTCAGTTGTGTTCAACTCTTAGCGACCCCATGAACGTCAGCCTACCAGGCTCCTTCATCCATGGGATTTTCCAGGCAAGAGCACTAAAGAAAGCTGAGCACCAAAGAATTGATGCTTTTGAACTGTGGTGTTGGAGAAGACTCTTGAGAGCACCTTGGACTGCAAGGAGATCCAACCAGTCCATCCTAAAGGAAATCAGTCCTGAATATTTATTGGAAGGACTGATGCTGAAGTTGAAACTCCAATACTTTGGCCACCTGATGTGAAGAACTGACTCATTTGAAAAGACCCTGATGCTGGGAAAGATTGAAGGTATGAGGAGAAGGGGATGACAGAGGATGAGATGGTTGGATGGCATCACCGACTCGATGGACATAAGTTTTGAGTAAACTCTGGGAGTTGGTGATGGACAGGGAGGCCTGGCAAGCTGCTGTCTGTGGGGTCGCAAAGAGTTGGACACGACTGAGTGATTGAACTGAACAGTCCAACTCAGTGACTAAACAACAGCAACATATGTATAGGTATATATATGCATGCACATCTATCTATCCATTCATCTAATAAAATATGACTTTGGGGACTTCCTGGTGGTCCAGTGACTAAGACCCTGCACTCCCAATGCCAGGGATGCCTGGGTTCAATCCCTGGTCAGGGACCTGGATCCCACATGCCAAAACTAAGATCCCTCATGAGCAATGAAGACCTGGTGCAGTCAAGTAAATAAACAAACAAACAAAATTATGGCTTTCTCACTGTAAAAAATGAGCCTATCCCAGGATATGCTCCATGTTGCAGGGGTTTATGGTACACTGACCAGCTGGCTCTATAATACTGAGAGAGGCACAGACCCTACATCCTAGACAAGGGTGTCTCAACCTCAGTACTCCTGACATCTGGGGCTAGATGATGATTCTCTCTTGGGGGTGGTGGGCTGTCCTTGCATTGAGGGTGCTGAGCAGCATCCCTGCCTTTACCTGCAGGTGCTCTGGCAGCCTCCCCATGGTCATGGCAAGCAAAAACTGTGTCCAGACACCGATGAATGCCCCTAGTGGGCAATGTTGCCCCAGCTGAGAACCATGTCTGTGGCGTCTGCTGACACGTACAGGCTGAAGAACCAGAGGCATCACAAACCTCTGTGCACCCCGCAGCATCCCACGTCCCTTTCTTGGGACATGCTATAAGGTTCAACAGACATGGACCCCACACAAAGATCAGCCCAGGGGAAGCTCCCTAGAATGTATTTCCAGGCGCAAATCCCTGAAGAATTCCTTTAATCTGATGTGACCTAGAGTCGAAACATCCAAGTCCTGCCCCAACACACGCACTCTCAGAAACAAACCCAGCCTAGACATACTTCTCTTTCCTTCCAGCTCCTGCAGGAGCCCCTTGCTGCTCTAACAACAATGAGGACTTTGTAGTTTGGAGAAAAAAATCACTTTGTCATACTTATTCATAATGCTGTCAGCAAACCCACATGGAAATTTAAGGGCCCTCCAAAATTCTTGTCTTTTTCTTTTTTTTGCATAACCCATTGGTTAATATGTTTGAAGGACTTTTTAAAATACATCTCCTAAACTCTGATGCCTTACTTTCTTGTACTATTCTGTTCTTCCAGCATCATCCAGATACAGCTACCCTTTCGTACTGGAGCTCCTTGTTTTGAGCCTTGGGATAATTATCAATAAAGAATAGAGACACAGGGTCCATGGGTGCGGTGGTAGCTGTGAAGGTGGTGAGTTACATCCCACATTGGCAGTGCCAGCGGGGCCCTTTCCGGCAGTCAGGGGTCTCTCATCTGAGGATGCCCAGGCCTGCCTGTGCATAACCTCTCAGATCCCAGGAGACATGGGTAGATCTATACGGAGGATAGACATGGACTTGAGCAAACTTTGGGAGATAGTGGAGGACAGAGGAGCCTGGCATGCTGCCGTCCATAGGGTTGCAAAGAGTCAGACATGACTGAGTGGCTGAACAACAACAAATCCGGAAGATTCCAACAGGATAAAAGAATACTTGAAATTAAGACAGCAGAGTTTGGGAGACTCACCAGGACTGGATGCACAATCGTGACATGTTCATACAATGGATTCTTACATAGGAGGGAAAAGAAAAAATAGACTCAGACGTAAAGATATGATTATGTCTCAAACATACAATGCTGAATGTAAACATCTGGTCATGAAAGCACAGATTATATAATTTTATGCAGATGAAAATTCAATAACAACAGGGAAGGGAGATGATAGATAAATAGATAGATGGGTAGATATGTGTGTGTTCAGTTGCTCAGTCCTGTCTGACTCTTTGAGACCCCATGGACTGTAGCCTGCCAGGTTCCTCTGTCCATGGGATTCTCCAAGCAAGAATACTGGAGTGGGTTGCCATTTCTTCCTCCAGGGGATCTTCCCAGCCCAGGGATTGAAGCTGTGTCTCTTGCATTGGCAGGTGGATTATTTACCATTGTGCCACCTGGGAAGCCCCTTTCTCTCCTATAGATAGCATTCAACGGTTTTACATGTTGGCATCTCCCACTAGACCAAGATCCACAACATGATGAAGTTTTCTTCACTAATATTTGTCTAGAGACTTAGAATAGGCTATGCTTCCATAGAAAACTGTTGGAGGAATTAATTCATTGATTAAATATATCATGATTTGTAGGAGTTTATCAGTTGAACATCAAAGAAAGTGTGCTATTTATGGTTGGCTTTCTAGAACACTTTGGTGATTTTGTTGATAACATTGGAAATGACCGAATCATCATGATAATCCCCTAGAATGGCTAGGGGAGGTTTCAAAGGGGTCCTGAGGCTTTAAAGATGACCCTCTGATGAAGAGGGATGACCCTAAAGATGAAGATTTCTGTCTTCAGATTCTAGCTGTTAGGATGGCGCTCTCAAGCTGAGTTTGAGAAAGTGCTATGGCTTCCATCGAAGACCTCCTCCAGCTCTTTCTGGGCATCTTCCAGGGATGGGATTCAAGCCTTGAACTGCTCTTAGCATGTTGCAAGTTCCATGTACACACTGGCATCAGCTGAGGACTCTCTGGGCCTCTGGGACGTGGGAGTAATGTTTTTCCGTGTGAAAACCGAACAATCAAAGTCAGTGTATGTCACCTCATTCAGTTCCTCTGTGTCAGGATCCTGCATAAAGGGGAATGATGAATGAGGGTGTGCAAACACTTAGGGGGGCGATGGGGGAAATGAGACTGCATTCAGGGGTTGTATCAAAGAGAACCTACCTCCCGATTCACTCTTCTGCTCACCTCAGGCTGGCTGTTCATTATAGCAGCATCTGTGGGTGATAAAGTCGTCAAGACACTTGGGAGGGCACTTCTGGATTCTCGTTTTATCCATACAGCACCAGTGGACAGAGAGATGCAGTGGATGTCTGAGATGACTCATCCTCCCCAAAGTGTCACTCAGTCATGTCTGACTCTTTGCAACCCCACAGACTGCAGCACGCCAGGCTTCCCTGTCCATCACCAACTCCCAGAATTTACCCAAACTCATGTCCATTGAGTCCGTGATGCCATCCAACCATCTTATCTCCCGAAAGTAGAGCCCGAAATTTTACCTCTTTGAGGTTCAAACACCCACCGCATTGATAGCTCCCATTTTTTAAAAAAAGATTTTGTTTTCATTTATTTTTTTTTTAATTTTTTAATGCTTAATTCACTTTATTTATTTATTTTTCCATTTATTTTTATTAGTTGGAGGCTAATTACTTCACAACATTGCAGTGGGTTTTGTCATACACTGACATGAATCAGCCATGGAGTTACATGTATTCCCCATCCTGATCCCCCCTCCCACCTCCCTCTCCACCCGATTCCTCTGGGTCTTCCCAGTGCACCAGGCCCGAGCACTTGTCTCATGCATCCAACCTGGGCTGGTGATCTGTTTCACC